AAAAGTGCTCAAGATTCAAATTATTCGACTCCTCTTACTGACTGTAATTTTTTTTTAATGGAATAGGTAGTAAATACAAAAAACTACGAAAAAATTTAGTTTTGTTTGATGATTTTTTTATAAAAAAAAACATTCTCTCGATAATTTAGTTGAGTTGTTGACAATTTAGTCAAAAAAAAACTTCAATATTAAAAAAATCGAATATAAGAATTTTGTTAAGTTCAATAATCTGAAGCGGGACTCCTATGGCTTCAACTGTGGCAGATTCTCTTATAAACAAAAGAATAAAAGTTTTTTTACTTTTAATACTTTTAGAAATTTAAAACAAATATTCTTTTCACATGATCAAAATTTAATGATGAAAAATTAATAGTTATTTGTGTTACAAGGGAAGAAATTACATCTTTTCCTCGCTGAAATCCCAGTTTCGCCATTAAATCTTGCAGCATGTTTTTCGGTTTCTGGGTAGGTAAAATTTTTACCTCTGAGAGGTTACATTTATTTTGTAACTTTAAGGAAAATTTTTAACTCCCAGGGAGGTAATTGGCCACTTTCCTTTCTGAAATTGAAATTAGGGTGGAAAACTTAACATCGATTTTTCCTGTTTCTCCAAACAGTCGAGTTTCTTTTTATTTGTATTCGATGAAATTCAACTTTTAATTTAAAATAGATTCAAATTATTCGTCTCCCCTTACTGATTGTATGGAATAGGTAGTAAATATTACTTTTGTTTTTTCTAAAAAAAACATTCACTTAACGATTAGTTGAGTTGTTGACAATTTAATCAAAAAAAATCCTCAATATCAAAAAATCGAATATTAGAGTTTTGTTAAGTTCAATAATATGAAGTGGGACTCCTATGGCTTCAACTGTGGCAGATTCTCTTATAAACAAAACAATAAAAGTTTTTTTTTACTTTTAATACTTTTAGAAATTTAAAACAAAATATGTCTTTGTATGAATTTTTTAATTAATTATTCGTTGTATGAGTCTGTATAAAACTAAGTTAAACCAGCGATAAAAACTGCATAAAACTACTAATTAGCTCAAGTTCAGGTAGAAAGTTCAGGTAAAGAGATAACGTTTTTTTTTACTTTTAATACTTTTAGAAATCAAAACAAATATTCTCTTTCACATGATGAAAACAGAAATTAATATTTATTTGTGTTACAAGGGAAGAAATTATATCTTTTCCTCGCGCTGATATCCCAGTTTCGCCATTAAATCTAGCAGCATGTTTTTCCGTTTATGGGGAGGTAAAATTTTTACCTCTGAGAGGTTACATTTATTTTGGTTMTAATTTTAAGGAAAATTTTTAACTCCCAGGGAGGTAATTCTGAAATTAGGGTGGAAAACTTACTTTCTGGGTCGTAGGAAAAAACACTGATACGTTTTGAGTTATTAGGGAGCAAACTGAACATCGATTTTCCCTGTTTCTCCAAACAGTCGAGTTCCTCTTATTTTTTATTTGTATTCGATGAAATTCAACTTTTAATTTGAAATAGATTCCAAGTATTCATTACTCATTTTTCTCCTTCAAATATTACACCAAGAGTTTTAACATAATATCAAGAGCGTAAGCTACATTTGTTTAAAAGTGCTCAAGATTCAAATTATTCGACTCCTCTTACTGACTGTAATTTTTTTTTAATGGAATAGGTAGTAAATACAAAAAACTACGAAAAAATCTAGTTTTGATGATTTTTTTCTAAAAAAAACATTCTCTTGACAATTTAGTCAAAAAAAAKCTCAATATTAAAAAATCGAATATCATTAGTTCTGTTAAGTTCAATAATCTGAAGTGGGACTCCTATGGTTTCAACTGTGGCAGATTCTCTTATAAACAGAACAACAAAAGTTTTTTTTTTACTTTTAATACTTTTAGAAATTTGAACAAAATATGTTTTTGTATGAATATTTTAATTAATTATTCGTAGTATGAGTATGTATAAAACTAAGTTAAACCAGCGATAAAAACTGCATAAAACTACTAATTAGCTCAAGTTCAGGTATGTTTATTAAAAGAGATAACATTCAAACGTTGCATATTTGACAAAAACAGTTGCTTTTTTACTCTGTTATCGCCGTGTGCTGTATAAGGTTGGTCGAATTATCAAGTAAATCAGGTTCGAAAGTGACGAATTCTCGATCCTGCAGACTGTCCATATATGTATTTAACTGTTACCTCACGTGGGAGCACTGTCCATGACGTAGAGAACCAGCTTCTCGCTGGAAACTTGCACGCTCTTCACTTTCAAAAAGAGCGCGATCGCGAGCGTACGCACCGACAATTCTTGTGTTATTATTTATTACTTTAATTTTGTGAAAATGACGGTGAATAAAACGACAAAAACAAAGAAAAAAACCACCGCTGCTGCCTCAACCTCCACGGCAACAACTTCCAAAGTGACAAAATCGACGAAAACCTCCAAAGTGGTAGACGGTGAGCTCTCCAAAGCCTCCTCCTCGTCCAGTTTGCAAATCTCAGACATTTCCCACTTACCGGTCGACGCCAACATCGTCACCTACACGGTAACAGAGACTTTACCGACCGGTGGTGGCGAAAAAATCACAGTTTATGGCGAAACGGGCGCTACTAGCACCGAATACAGACACTTTATCGCACAAGACTCGAAAAACGCCACGACAATCACCCAACTCAGCTCGAAATTAAACAGATCGACTTCGAATATCTCACAGGAATCCGGCTCGACTTACACTGTCACCGAACCAGTGGAAGAACTCAAACTAACTTACAACAAAAACGACTCTGGATGGAACGGAAAGTTTATTTACGAACAACCTGTGGCCAAAAAGGGCCAAGGGACTGTTGTTGAACACTCCTCGACGTCAACTTCGCACGAGGAGCGCTCCTCAATAGCCAAAAGCTCCTCCAGTAGCTATGTCATCGAGATTGTCAACGGGAAAGAAAGGATAATCGACCAGAAACACCACGAGTCGGGTAGTGCCACTTCTGCCGTCAACGACGAACACTTAGCGATGAAAAGTGGCACTAATATCACCCCAGAAATACACTACAAGCAAGGGGCGAAGACCTCTTCCACCAAGTATGACACTGCACGTCCTGAGTTGACTCAACCCAAAACCAAAACCTCAGAATCGGTGAGGGAAGTGCACCAAATCGGCGATTCAGTATCGACAACAGCCCACGCAATACAAGATTCACACCAAACTGACAAAACTAGTGATAAAGCTAGTGACAGAAAGACAAAGAGTGAAGTAGTGGATTCCACATCTAATATTAGCAAAACTGTGAGAGATGGAGGAGTTTCTTGTAGTAAGACAAAAGATTCAGTTGATTCAAAAACCTACACCAAAAGTAGTGATATCAAAGAAGATTTCACCTCATCGACAACTTATTACGACTCCAAGGGGAACATCATCAAAACTGTGAAAGATGGGGAAGTTTCAGGTAGCACAAGACGAGATTCTGCTGATTCCAACCAAACCTACACCATTAGTGACAAAACTAGTGATATTAAAAAGTCAACAGTAGCAGATTTCACCTCGTCGACAACTTATTACGACTCCAAGGGGAACATCATCAGAACTGTGAGAGATGGGGAGGTTTCTGGTGGTAAGGGAAGAGTTGATAAATCTAGTGACACAAAGAATTTCGCATCGTCGACAAGTTACTACGACTCCAAGGGGAACATCATCAGAACGGTGAAAGATGGGGAAATTTCTAGTGACAAGAGACGAGATTCTGCTGATTCGAGCCAAACCTACACCATCAGTGACAAATCTAGTGATATTAAAAAGTCAACAGTAGCAGATTTCACCTCGTCGACAAGTTATTACGACTCCAAGGGGAACATCCTCAGAACTGTGAGAGATGAGGAGGTTTCTGGTGGTAAGGGAAGAGTTGATAAATCTAGTGACACAAAGAATTTCGCATCGTCGACAAGTTATTACGACTCCAAGGGGAACATCATCAGAACGGTGAAAGATGGGGAAATTTCTAGTGACAAGAGACGAGATTCTGCTGATTCGAAGCAAACCTACACCATTAGTGACAAAACTAGTGATATAAAAAAGTCAACAATGGCAGATTTCACCTCCTCGACAACTTACTACGACTCCAAAACTGTGAAAGATGGGCAAGTTTCTAGTGACAAGAGACGAGATTCTGCTGATTCGAGCCAAACCTACACCATCAGTGACACCACTAGTGATATAAAAAAGTCAACAAAGAGTGAAGTAACATCCAAGAAAAGAGATTCGATTGATTCGAACCAAACCTACACCATTAGTGACAAAACGTCAAAAGGTGGCGATTTGACGACCACCACCACTACAAGTTACTATGACTCCAGAGGGAATGTCATTAAAACGGTCAAAGATGTGGACATGGGGGAAATCCCCGGTAAAAGGCGCGATTCAGTCGACTCAAACCGGACTTACACCCTAAGTGAGAAGAGTTTCGTCGACGATTCGACTTTTGATGAGGTTTCCAAACGTCGAACAGCGCAAACCACCAGCGATTCGCGCAATTTCTACGGCCATGGAGTCGACTCGTCCAACACCGTCGTGAAGAACGTTTACGACGATAAAGCCGTCCAGAACACAATTGGTACCAAAGGTAGAATAATAAAGGATGACACAATCGATTCCACCGATTTGGTCTATTCGAACGAACGGAATTATGGGAAGACGGGGTGGAATGGGAAGTTCACCTACGAGACTCCAAAGCGGTCGCCTTCGCCGGGGAAAAAGTCCGATAAAAGAGCACCGTCGCCCGCGGCCCCAAAAAGGGGGACTTCCCCGGGGAAAAAGTCCGATAAGAGAACACCGTCTCCCGCGGTCCCAAAAAAGGGGACTTCGCCGGGGAAAAGAACAAGAAACGTGACTGATACCGTCCAGGATTTTTTATCGACTGAAATTAATGAAAACATCAACCAGAGTAGTGCGAAAAGTTTTGACCAAGTGACCGAACACATGGTGCCAACTGAAACCTTTGAAAGTTTCCAGACAATTTCATCCGACTCGAAAACTAGTTTTACTTCAGATAGGAAGAGTTTTGTTGATAATCAGAGCAACATCGAGAGTTACACCGTCTACGAGGGGCCTCGATTGCCGGTGACAGATTTTGTTGAGCAAAGTGAGATTGTTGACATCAAAAATGTGACTGATGTAAGAGATACAAAAGTGACGAATTTTGTGGATAGGAAAGCGACTGTGGAACATGTCACCAGCAAGGACGTGACTGATTTTAGGACTTCGAAGGATGTGACCGATAAAGTCAATAAAGTACACATTGAAGAAAATATCGTCGATATTAAAACTATCGTAAGTAGAGATAAAACGTGTGAAAGAATCGATTTTAATTGTTTTTACAGGACGAAGTCGAAAATATTACAAACATCAACCGCTTCAGCGATAATAAAGTGATCAATATTGTGAAGACCATCAAAGAAGCCCCCAAACCTGCAACGATCAAAATCCCCAATAAGGAGCAATGCATTTGCGAATTGTGCACGTGTGGGTAAGTAAAAATAAATGTTAGGAATTTTTATTCATAATGATCTCACAACTCGCGATTTATCTCTTAAAAAATATAAACATAAATAATTTTGACTAAAAATGGACAAGTTATCAGGATCATGGAGCTTGTTTGTTTTTTTGAAAAATTTTCTACACAATAAAAACAGATGATATAGTCAAGGTGATTTTTCAAATGTCAAGGATTTACTATAATTATTGTTATTTAAGTCTAAAAAATCAGTCAATAACATTGACCAAAAAAATTGTGAAGTTCAAATTCTTTTTCAAAAAAAAAATATAAAAACTAGATTGAAATGTTGAGTTTAATAGTAGATTATGTTGTTACTTTTATCCCGATGAATAACATTAAATACTATTTTCTCCGGAAACGTTAAAAAATGACATACAGGGTGTCCCAGGGTTACGTACGATAGACATCCATTTTTTTTTGGTCCAAAAATATTTTCGTCATTATAGGTAATTTCTATATAGGGTGGCGCAACAAAGTTATATTTTTTCTTATGGAACACCCGGTATATTATGCGCTTATTTGAAAGAGTTTTTAATTTTTGGAAGCACTAAAACTAGAAAACGGCAAAAGGTGGAGATTGAGTGACAGTAAAAAACAAAAATTCAGTCATAATTCTACAAAGTAGTAGAGTTTTATAAATTGACGTTTTGTAAAAAGATATCACTAAGAGTGCGTTGGATTTCAATCATTCTATCTGACACTTCTGACAGTTGTTGACATTTCGCGTAAATGTGGCTCACATTCTTCAAGAAAATCAAACGAAAACGATAGAAAAACTAAAGTATTCGTTACTGGTGATTTGAAAAAATCAAAACGGTGACGTAAATTTACAAATATAGTCTTTATTTCTCTATCACTAAAGGATTTATTTTTATTGCCAAATGCAGAATTAATTTTAAACTCATTATTCCTGCGTTTATTTGTACAAATTGTCCAAATATTGTCAATTTATTGGTAACAGTCGTTTTTTATTGCCAACTGAGAACACAGTTTTCAATGCAAAAAATTTGCACTTTTGTGATACTAAACGGGAAAAAAATATGAATTTTTCAAAGCCAATTAAGGAAACAAATTTAAATTTATTATTTGTAAAATTCATATAAAAGCTTAATCTATCGAGAAAAAAATTGACGAAATAGTCCCTTATCTAACATTAATTTTTCCTGGCTAATTGGAAAAATTAATTTAAATTCATTATTTTTTCGCCTTTTTCAAAGCAAATTCGAATTGAATTAAACCAGTTTTTTCATGGATAATCGGTGAGGTTTTTGCAAAATCTTGAATTTGATTGGTTGGACACATTTGTTAATTTATTGGTCCAATTACAAGGCCATTTCCCATTCACGTAATTACCACTATCCCGAGATCAAACCGGTTTTTATTGCTTATTGGCCAAAATCCGACAAAAACCTAGTTTGTGCCTAAATGACAGAAGTAAAGGTTACACTTTTGCCTAGGCTTAAGTAAAATTTAAATAAAGTAATTTAAAAACAACAGTGGTTATTGACGTTTGCCGATAAACTTTTTTCAAAAAATTAAAATTGGATTTCATTGGATATTATTTCTGAGAACTTAGGGAATACTATTAATATACCTTTAGAAAAAAAGTGTGGCTACAACTACATTCCATAACATTTGGTATAGTTTTTTGATTCACACTGTATATGTATACAGGGTGATTCAAAAGTGTCGGACCATCACTTGGGTGGTGATAAAGGACATTCAACTGAGTTAAAAGTTCCCATGACAAAAAATTGTTTGAGCCTTTTTTCACGAGGTATAGCTCTTCAAAGGTTAGATTTTAGGTAATTTGTGTTTTTTGGTGTACAAAACATTTAACAAACTAGCAAATTCAACAATAGATTAAATTTGACAACAATGGAAACAAAAGAGCTAAGATGCCTACATTATAATATGGGAATTGACAGTTCTGTTTTTTCTCAAAAGAAGGCTTGAAAAAAATCTGAATTCATTTTATGCTTAACTGAAAGTAATTTTTTATACATTCCTTCACGAATGCAAATTTTGACTGTTAAAACTGGAATTTTTTGGAATTTGCTTAAATCATGCAATAATTTCGAGAACATCTGACACATAAAATTTCTTTCTACTGGTTATTTTTCTATAATTTTAAGTAAATACTTCACCTTTCATTTATAAATCGGAACATATACCTAATTAAAGCCCAACCTGGAATTTTCATTTTTGAAATTACAAAATAAATCATTTTTGGGCCTCAAACAACATAATTTAGTTGTTAATTGTCATGTTGTTGGCTAGTTTTAATCATTGATGACTGATGATAAGTTAGAGAAGTTACGTAAGAGGCCAATTGGAAAAAAAGTGTAATATTTCTCGTACATTTTGTGTACTTTTTACTTTCATTATGATGTTTATTAAACACTGTAAAGCGATGTTTATAATAAAAATGAGCGTGTAACCGCATTTCCACACAGATTTGCAATAACAAAGCACCTTCAAAGAAGCGAAGTAGATGACATCATCCTTTGGAATATTTACTACATTCAGAACAAACCTGTTTTACAACACAAACTTGTGTGGGCATTTTCATCTGCTGTGGTTTCTTCTAATTTAAAGACTCATTATTATAGTTTTTATTCAATTATCATAAATACTCTAATGGGCACTTGAGCGAAATTATATGTTTTAAAATTTTTCGATTGAATTTGATTAATTTTGAAAAAAATTACTTGTAATATGAGTCAATTGAAGCGTGGGCAAGAATTTTTGCCGAGATTATTTTTAGCCCAGGATGCACATTGATGGCAAAATTGTGCCTAGCAATCTTCGGGTTAAGGTTAATTAGACAAGTTTCGTGATAATCAAACCAATTGGTTAAATAAAAAAAATGACGTAATTGATCCAAAACACGATCATTTCAACTATTAGCTCATTCAAGATTTGTCAAAAAATGTTTTATCAGTTTACAAGTAGCGAATATTTTGAAAAATTGTAACAGAAGATTGCCAGACTGCAGTTCTTGGAATCAGCCTTCTCCATTTGGCAATGAGAGGTGCTTAAAAAATGCACGAAGTCTTTGCCATATACGGAATGGTTTTAGTTGATCTTTCGAAGGCCGACTGAGATAGTAGGAGTGTTTCAATGGCCTACTTCCAGCTCATGGATTGAATTATAAGTTTTTTTGGTTTTTATAATGATTTAAGAGTGTCACTTGAGTCTGATGATGACGAAATGCAGACATGCAACTATTGCGTAACTGGCAAATTTGTGACACAACTACCTGTGTGAAGAATTCCTGAATATTTCCTCTCAATTTTATTAGATACTACTTTCTAATAAGTAATAAACTAATCAAAATTTGGAAAAAACGTTTTTTACTTAAACTATTTATTTTTTGGACAAACTAATTGATGAATCACAAAGTACTATAAAGTGACGTTTTATCAAGAAAAAGATTTTTTTTAGAGTTCTGAAATTTTTTTTATTTTATTAAACTATTTTTCTCATGAAAGTTATGATTTAAGGATTATTTAATTTTTATCAAAACTTTTTACATAAATTGCCATTATCAGAATTATTACTTTCGGATTTAAAATTCTGATTTAAAAAAACCGCTTGATTCCATACTTTGTCATATACACAGTATATTAAATAGATTAATGACTGAAATATATGACAAGGGTATGAAATTAATGAGCCATTAACATCTGAATTTGTTACAAGTTGAAAGTTCATCAGATAAGCAAAACACATTTTTAAACGTTTAAATAAAATGACCTTCTTTTTAAATCTTTGGGAAGTATTTATTTTAAGCGCTAAAACTGTAATCATTTCTTGTTCGTCTATTAATTAGATACGCCTCCGTGGTTTTGTTATAATTTTGTCATTATTCTAAATGTTACACATTTTTTTATTGCTATTTCCTCAATTTTGGTCATATAAAAAATGTCATTAGTTCTCATTCTCATTTTGTTCCAAAACTGACATTAGAAATGGTCAACATTTTTTAGTAAAATGTAGAATAGAAAAACTTTTTGTTGTGTATTAAAATGGGTGTTAAAAAAAAGCTTTTTTGACAGTTTTTTTTCTAATAGTTTTAGTAACAGCCCTACACTAGAATGTTACAAAAAAAAAAAAACAAGAAAAAAATATTACAACATTGTTATTGCCGATTTCCATTGATTTGAAGTATCTACTTCAAAACGAAAAAAAAAATAAAAAATTAAGTCAATTAATTCAATTTTAGGCCAAAATGAAGTAATTTGATTTCCAATCGATTTGGCTCAATTTTAAGCCCAAAATCAACTTGAATCAAACAGTTTTCTTCTAAACTAAAGCAATTTGAGCTACTTCCAATCCAATTTTGCTTAATTTTAACACTGGAATCATTGTAGATTAATGTATTTTACAAAAATAATTGCTTAAAATCCAATTTAAGGCCAAAATAAAGCCATTTGTGCTATTTACATTTGATTGGGCTCAATTTTAAGCCGAAAATCAACCTGAATCAAAGTTTTCAATAATATAATGGCTTGAATAAGAGTTTTCTTCCAAAATAAAGCAATTTTAGCTATTTTAAAATCCAATTTTGCTCGATTTTAATACAGAATTCATTCCAAATTAATGTATTTTATAAAAATAATTTCTTCAATATTAATTTTGTGCTGAAATAAAGCAATTTGTGCAATCGATTTCGCTTATTTTCAAGCAGGAAATCAACCTGAATCAAAGTATTTCAACAAAATAATAGCTTGAATTAAAGTTTTCTTTAAAAAAAAACAATTTGAGCTATTTCCGATCCAATTTTAATACAGAAATCATTCTAAATCAAAGTATTTTATAAAAAATAATGGCTTAAAATCTTTTTTTTTTTTTTGGCAAAAATGAAGCACTTTGTGCTAGTTTCCAATCGATTTGGCTCAATTTCAAGCAAGAAATCAAACTAAATCAAAGTATTTCAAGAAAATAATGGCTTGAATAAGAGTTTT